TTAACAATAAAACAATTTCTGGTTTAAATTGAAATTAAGCAACCGCCAGAGAAAAAGAAAAAAAAACAATAAAAAATACCAAAAAATGTCATATATTACATAAATAGAATAATACAAAGAATAAAAATAATAAAAACTAAAAAAGTTTTGAGGTATGAAAAAAAAACAAAAAAGAAAAAAACATTGAGGATTAAAATAGCAGAACTAAAAATTTTTTAAAACATATTTCATGGGAGAAGAAGCTGCATACAAAGAATGGGAAAAAGTAAATGGAGTAAAATATATTGAAGAAGATAAATTATTAGAGTGGAATGATTCTGAACGAGAACAAATTTTTAAAGATAGACCATGGAAGAAAGATCCCTATTATTTCAAAAAGTGTTATGTTAGTTCAGTGGCATTATTAAAAATGGTAATGCACGCAAAACAAGGAGAGCCATTAGAGATTATGGGTATTCTTATTGGACAAACAAAAGGAGATTCATTTGTGATTACTGATGTAGTTAGTCTTCCAGTTGAAGGAACTGAAACAAGAGTTAATGCATCTGCTGATTGTGATGCTTATATGTTGCAATATGGAGAATACAAAAATAGTACTGGATTTAAAGAACCTTTTTGTGGATGGTATCACTCACATCCAAGTTATAAATGTTGGTTATCTGGTATTGATGTTGCTACAGAAAAATTACACCAAAGCATTAACGATCCATGGATTGCTATAGTTGTAGATCCTGTCACAACATCTACAAATGGTAAAATAGAAATTGGTGCATTTAGAACATTCCCAGAAGGATTTAAACCACAACAAAAAGCTGAAATGAAAAAAGTACTTCCAAGTGAGAAAATAGCAGATTTTGGGTCGTATTATGATTCATATTATTCTATTAAAGTTGAATTATTTAAAACAAAATTAGATGACCAAGTACTTCGTTTATTATGGCATGAATATTGGATTAACACACTTGCAGCAACAGCTATTATTTCTTCACGAGATATTATGGACGAAAAAATTATTGACTTATATGATAAATTTACTGCAGAATTAAAAAATAATAAAAGTAATGTTGTAGATGCTTGTGGTGCTATTTTAGATGATGCAAAAGAAATCCAAATGATTTATGAACGAGGTATTAAATCTTTAGATTTAAAGAATATTTTATTTAATCAGAAAGTTACTGGAAAATAATTAAATTCATTTGACTTAATTTTTTGTTATTTAATTTGTAATTATTAAGAAGGTTGATTAATAATAAAAACATTAAATCATTAAAAAACGCATTTTTTCTTTACTCTTATAATTTGTTCTTTTTGGCAACAAATTCTAAATAAGCTAATTTCTTAAAATCTTTTTGAATTTTTGGTAATGGATTAGAAAGTCTTTCACGATATGTTTTGCAAGCATAAGAATGATATAATTCTCCACTTGCTGTACTAGCCTTTTGAATGTCTGCTTTAATAAGAGGTACTTTCTCATTAACTTGGTCAACAATACTATTATCTTTCATTTCTTCATCGATAGTCTTAATTGTAGTAACTGTTTCATTAAGTAAATTTCTTACTACATCTAATTCTTCATCTTCAAACAATTTATTTGGAAGCATTTTTTTAAGGTTCTTTGCAATAATAGTATATCTCTTTTTCATTTCAACTTTCATATATCTAGTTTGTTTTACTACGTTTTGAGCTTCAGAAAGAGCAGACTTTTGAAGTTTTTCAATTAAGTTCTTATATAATGAAATAAATGCTTGAATATCTAATGGACATTTTCCTTCAGTAGAATAAACAGTAATGGCGTTGTTCCATTGAATCAATTGTTCATTAATCATTTTTTGATAAATTTCAATCATAGTTTTTGAAAAGTCAGCACTTTTCTTATACTTTTCAATTGTTGGATTATAAGTATCTCCTGATGTTAAAGCAATTCTTAAAGTAACATTAAATCTATTATCATCTCTATTAATTGGAATTTCTTTTTTCATATGAGGAACAAGATAAGTATATACTTGAATCCATCTTTCCATATGTAATTTTCTAATAATTTGAGATTGTTCTATTTCTGGAATTCCAGCTAATAAACTTCGTGCTTCAGTTAATATCTTTTCTTTTTCTTTATGATTCATAACAATTACTTCTTTTAATTTATTAATTATATTAGTTAATTGAGGATTGACTGCATTTAATTGGTTTGTTTCTTTAATTTTTGCATCAAGAGCAGTTTGTAATTGTCGTTCATCTTCTTCAAGTTGTAATACTTTTTGTCTCATTTCTCCAACTTGAATTTCTATTGCAGATATCACGTGTGGGAATGTGATCACAGCTTCTGAATAAACTAAAAACAATGCAAAAACGAAAATTAAGTATTTCATTTTTTCTTTTAAAATTATGATTTTTCTAATTTTTTATTTTTTAGTTCTTTTTATTTTTTTAAAATGTTTATTAATATTTTTACTTTTTTTTCAATAACTTGTTTTATTATTTTAAAAATGAAAAAACAAAAAATAACCAGGAAAAGAACTTGAAAACTTTGAAAATTCTAAGGAAATAAGAAAAAATCTTTTGTTTAAATCAAAAAAGGGCAACTTTTTGAAACGAAAGGATAAAGTAAAAATACTATTTAAAGGTGGAACTAGAAAAAAGTAATCAGAAAACCAATGTTTGCTTTAATTGCCCTTATTGTTGTTGTAAATGCCGATTATAGTGGTTGTGGATGTTGTGAAGTAAATGGAAAATGTGATGTATTCCAAAATGAATGGAGTTGGTTAGATGAATGTATTAAACATGTTCCACAAGACATAATGCCAACAGATCCAAATTGGTTCAAGATTGTTAGACTTCCTAATGCTACTTATGATAAATGTACAGCACCAACTGGATTTTCTTCATCTGATAAAGCCCCTATTTATACTTATGATAGTCCATGCACATGTTTTGAAGATTTTGCTGATCGTATTATGAATTCATTTAGTTGTGGAACTGAATTTCTTAAATCACTTGATGAAGTTTGTAACACATTAGGATGTAAGTATTGTAATTTTATTACTCCAAAATGTGGTGATACTCAATTAAGAAGATGTGATTTAGTATATCAACAAGAAATTGCCTTAAATAAATATCCTACTTCTGATGATATTTGTCGTGCTCTTACAAAGAAAGTTGAATGTTATGATAGTAACCATTGTGTTTATTCTGACATTCCTCAAATGCAACAAACTGTTAAACAATGTAGAAACTCTACTTGTCCTGCATGTTACCAAATTTGTAAGAATGGTGCTATTTCTACTTTTGCTCTTTTTGCTCTCGTATTGCTTGCTTTTGTCTTCTAAAATAATTCATTTTCGATCGGAATATTCTTTTTGTACAACTGTTGTTATTTGTTTCTATTTTGAATAAATTTAACTAATAAAGTTGAAATTTTTTATTATTCTTCTAATCTTAGTTTTATGATTATTATTCTTGGTATTTATTGTCTTATACGAATTCTTTTTTTTTTTGTAGAAATTTTTGTATATAAAATTGTATGTTATATTCAATTTATTTATTTGTCTTTATATTTTGAAACTCTTAGCCGTATTAATGGGATTGTCTTTATTACCAGAATTCAATAAATTCAATTTATGTCATCACTATTCTAACAAATTATTTTAGACAATGAATTTTATGTTTTTTCTTCTGTTGAAATTAGTTATATTTTGTTATTACTTATTCAAATATAAGTTGTTATTACTAATGCCTCTTATAACATTCTAATAGGATAGGAATATGTTATCAAAATAGACATTTCTTAAAAAATTTCATTTTGTTTATTCCTTTTTTATAAAGATTTATATTATTGAATTATTAAAAAATTTTTGTTATATTAAAATTATAGTTAAAATAAAGAAGCGTGATGAGTTTAATATATTAAATAATAAAACATCTTTTCGTTTAAATAGTTTTATTAATAATTTTTTTTATATCATTGACATTAATTTCTCTAATTTTTTATGTTAGTTATTAATTTTGTGGATAAACTTTTGAAAATGGTTTTTCAGTTAGTGAGAAAGAATGAATAATTTTTATTTTTCTCTTATGAACTATTTGTAAAAACTAAAGACTGTTAATTATAATATAGAAAATAATTATTTTCTTTAAATTAGATGAATCAGTTTATTAAGACTAGATGATGTGATTTTTGTAGATGACTTTGAACTTTTATTTTTAAGTTGTTAATAAAAATGATATAGATTTAGAGGTTGGCTAAGATTTGTTTAAATGATATTAAATTTGGGATTTAGTTTTTATAGAGGTAATTTAAATATTTCAATGATCCATTAAATAAATAATACTTTCATAAATAAAAATAAAATACTTAATAACTATAATAAAAAACAAAAAAAAGTAGAATTAGAATTGAAAGAAATAATCAAAAAAAAGAGAAACTAAAAAGGAAAAGAAGCAAGTAAGAAGAAGATGCCTCCATTAGAAGATATATTTATCCAAACAATCATTAGTTATATTAATCAATTACAAACAGTAAAAAAGATACTTCAAGTCAGTAAAAGAATACAAAGAATTATTAAAACAATGAAAAGTAATCCATATTTTATGTGTTCAGCAGAAGAAAAAGGAGTTAGGGCATTTCATATTCAAAATATACTTAACATTTTTTCTGGTATAGAAACACTTCAAATAACTCCTGAAGATCTTATTCTTGATTTTAATCAATGGGAAATTAATACCATTAATATATCAATTACATCTGGTGAAATTATTTCTTCTATTCCATTTAAAAAACTTATATCATATGTAGGAACTACAGATGAATTTCTTAAACAAACTAACAAACAAACAACATTTCCATTAGAAAGACTTTATATTATTCAACCAGAGAATATTGATGTAAATGCTTTAAATTGTTTGATTTTATTTCCATCTCTTAGATTTGTTGAATTTTGTTTAATTGAAGAAAAGCAAAATTCAATATTTTTTACCAATGAATTAATCTGTTCTTTGTTAAAAAAGAATATTAAAGTTATTATTAATCATCCTGAAATGAATGAAAATTCAATTCACATTCGTTCATTATTACCAAATAATGTTTATAATATATATTCTAATGTATTTCCATTTGGCTCTTTTAATAATGAACTTGTTGTAATTTCTCCACAACAAACTGATTTATTTCATATTTATAATCCAATAACAAATGTTTTTAATAATAAATTATATAAAAAATTGTATTATCCATATTTATACGAAGGTGAATATAATATATTCTTATCTCAATTAGATTCTTTACAGTTAATAGAATTAAAAAAATCAAATAATACTTCTCTTTTATTTCCTTCTAGTTTAAAAGAATTACATATTTATTTTACAAATACCAAAAATTATCTATACGAAAATGAATCAGAATTATCGTTATTAACAACACTTAAAATTAAAGAATATAATAAAAAAACTTTAATTCCTTTAAATATTCAAAAATTAGTTATTGACAAATTAACATCAAAATTTCAAGTAACTCTTCCTCAACTTACTAAATTATCTATTCATAAAACAAATTTTAAAAAATTAATTCTTAATTCTACAATTAAATATTTAAAACTTGACTATTATTATAATAACATGTCTCTCCCTCATTCAGTTAAAACACTTCAGTTGTATTCTTGTGATGAACTTCTTTCTACTAAAAAAATTGAAAAATTAATACTTCTTAATACTGATAACACAAATATGTCTCTTCTTCCTCTTTGTTTAAAAAATATTTCTTTATATAATGTTAAAAAAATTAATTTAACTCGACTGGAAAGTCTTGAAGAAGTTTATTTAAATTTAATTTCATTTAATGGGTTCTTTGATTTTAAAAATATTAAACTTCCTCCAAATATTAAAAAATTAATATTAGAATTTACTGGTAAAATAGGAGATGCTGATCCACAAAATATTATAGATAAAGCTAAATTATATTTTTCTCTTATACCTAATGTACAAATGCTCGGAGAATTCTTTGAATAAAAAAAAAAGAAAGAAAAAAAAATTTCAATTAATCCATTAAATCAAATCTGAATCAAAATATGATAATGTTTGAATTGAATCAATTCGTTGTTTAACCTGTGGATCACAGTTTATTTTAATTTCATGAAGTAAAGATGAAGAAAAATTCATCAGACTTTTTTGAGTAGAAATAGATTCTATATATTCTATTAATGATAAACAACTACAAATTGATTGTTTCATTAAACGAATAAAAGGTGATATTATATAACTATCTTTTATTTCTACTTGATAACGATTTAGTTTAATTGATTCTTTATTTTCTATAGTATTAAGAAGAAGAGCTTTTGACATTTCTATTGGAAGAGCAAAGAAAGGATCAACATAATTAAAAATTGTTTTATTTCCACCAAAAGTTTGACTCATAATATAATTAAATGCAGAATAAAAATCAGTTGAGAAGAATGGAACTAATGATGACATTTCATCAGGATCAGTAATACCTGAAATCATTAGATGAATAATATAAATTCTAATAAGGTCTTCTTTTGATACATTTGAATTAATAATAAATCCTCTTATTAATTGAATCACTGTACAAATAAAACCATGTTGATCATCATCATTTTTTCTTTCAGGAATATCAATATTATAATACCATTTTAATGTGTCAATAATAAAATTAGGTCCTACAATTGAATTCAACATTTGTACTAATGCAATATCACTTTGTACAAATTCATAATTAATTGGAGTGACATATAAATTATAGTTTGATACAAAATTTTCACCAGTTAATAACCATTTACCATTTTCATATTGGTGTCTAAAAACTAAATTCATTAATCCATATTCAACAAGTATTTCACTATCTTCTTTTGAAATGTCAAGAGTTAAATCATGTTTCATTAATACTGAAAGAATTAATGTATAAAAATATAATAAAGGGGATAGAGTTGATATTGGTTGATTTATTCCAATAATTCTGTTATGAATTATACTTTTTCCAAAATGAATTTGTTGAGAATTCGTCATATAATTTTTTAAATGATTCATTACAAATAAATGAATATCATTAAATATTTCATAAATATATCCAATGTCAATATTATCAACAAAGTAATAAGCTGTAATTTTTAATGGAAATAATAATGGTTCAATTATACATAATGTAATTTTTTCAACATATTTTGTTTTAAGTGAAGGTTCTACATTTGATAATTCTTGAAGACATTGAAGATATTGAACTAATGTTTCTTTATTCATTATTTTATTAGAATTACCAAATACATAATTAATAATTCTTAATGACTCACAAATATTATTTTGTAATATTTCATTTTCTGTTTGATTTTCTTTAAATAAATGAAGATATTGTTGAAGAGTTTGTAAATAAAATATAAAACTACTGTCTTGAATAAATAAAGAACTTAATTCTTTTTGAAGGAATAATTGGGAATAAAGGTCATTTAAAATATATCCATTTTCATATTGATCATCAAATGATAATTTAATAAAAAAATTAAATAATAATGAAGTATTGTAATGAATCATTTTTGGATGAGTTTGAAATGATGTAATAAAATGTTCTAATTCTTCTGATAATTGTTTTTCACAACCAACAAATAAAGCTTCACCAATAGTTAAATTTTGATAAGAAAATCCATTAATTTTAATTGAAAAAGAAGTTGGTTTATTCATAAGTTGTCCAAATATATTAAATAATAAATATATTTCAGAAAGTTCATTTAACATTTTTCCAATAATATTTATTCCACTTTGATTATGCTTACATTCACAATGACATTCTTCATCACATGATGAACAACATTCTTCTTTTTGATGTTTTTGAATATTACTATTAAACAAATATTTAATAATAGTTATTAGTATTGTCTCTATCTTTAATGGAATATCTTGATAACTATCTGGTAATAATTGTGTTGCATCTCCTTCAAATTTTTTTCCATGGTTTTTACAAAATCCATTTACTTTCCATGCTAATTCATTGCCACAATCACATGTAAATGAATCAATTGTTTTTTGCATTTCATAATCATGTCCTTCATGGTTTCCATTCTTAAAACATTCTTCACAAATACATGAATATTCATTCTTTTCACATGTCTTACATCTATAGATAATGCTTGGTGTCCCAAAATTTGATTTTTTCATACAAATAGATGAAGATAATAATGGCTTAATATCTTTTTCTACTTCTTCAAATGGTTTATCAAAAATAGAAGAAAACACAGGATTTTCTCTTGAACTACATTGTGGTTCTTCTTCATTTAAAAAGTCATCAACAATGTTAGCAATTAATTTCATTATTTGTTTAAAGAAATAAGTTTTAGTTTTTACTATTTTTATAATTTACTTTTATTATAAGTATAATTATATTAGATAACATTTTTTATTAATATTTATGTTATTTGATTAAAATAAGAAATAACAAAATATATTATAAT